CACCTCGGGGAGCAAGGTTGGAATGCTGACAAGGATGTAATGTTTTTGATGAACAACTTGTATTTCTGGGAGAAAACATGTCAAGTTCTTCTGGAGAAAGCTCAGGGTATTTTGTTCGAAAGTTGCAGTAGCGATACACTGTTTAATTGGGACGCTGCTGGAGGTTTGATGGCTCGATGTTGACTGTGCAAAGTCTGACATCTGGACCATGTGTTTGATGTCGTGATGGGTCGAAGATGGAGACGAGGTGGGTTGGTGAAGAAGGGCGTCTTCAACCGGCAAATCCTTCCAAATTAAATCGGACGTTAACTTTGTGACCATTTGGAGAAAACGTTGCTGGATGCCTCCAAATTACTGAGTTTCTCCCAGGGTCTTGGCTTGCTGTTCACCCGAGAATTCAATGAGTTTGACCCCCGTTAAGGTTGACAATTTTGATTGACGATTGCACAAGGCGCCTGGGAAGGTATATAGCCCTCAATTTGGGTGTTGAGCGTGCTCTGGTTTTAGTAACTTAACCAGGAGAAATTCATTGCTCAATTTGACACTGTTATGAGAGATGGTTTCGTTCGGGAGTCCTTTAGAAACCCAGCCATATTGATCTCCGTTGTTTTGTGCAATTGTTAGTTGATCCATACCGTTTCTCTTCCCAGTGACAAATGACCAATTAAATACACATAAGTTACGTGTTGTGTTGAGCTATTAAAAGGCACATTATGCTGTACTGCACCAAGTGCATTGGTGAGGCCACATTCGTCAAACCTGAAGTAAAATGAAGCAAATGTATTTGAAGAATTGGAACTTGGAAGGTAATAATGATAATGATGATAATAATACATTCTTCACATTTGACGTGACCTCGGGAGGATGTCTCGAAGAGCTTCACAGAATTTACAGTAAACTGGGGTGTATGTTTGTAAGTGAAATCAGCAGTCAATTTGTGCACCAACGGCAGTCAGGCCTTCAGCCTTTCTGCCCCCACCCTCTGGAACTCTATCCTGGAGCCCCTATGCCTCCCCCCTCCCTTGCCTCTTTCAAGGACCACCTCACAACCCTCCTCTTTGACCATGTCTTCGGTCCATCCGTCTACCTCCACCCTCTTGCCCTCCACACCCCCCACCTTGGATCCCAACCCCCAACTGGGGTGCAAACTCTACACTGTCCAGAACCTTGGGACGTCCTACGGACATGAAAGGCACTATATGAATGCAATTTGTTGTTGTTGTTTGGCAATGTCTCATTGGGAGAAACAACAACAAGATTTCATTAATAGAAAGCGGGAGGAGATGATTCCAGTGACAGTTGGGAATGGCAATGGCTTGAATCAATCATTTATATAAATCCCAATTTGTCCGGCTTCATTAATCAGCAGGACAATCATTCTTGAAAAGGATTACGTGCCTCATGGCTCGAAATGGCTCAAAATGCTTTAATGTGTTCTTTCTTCTTGAATTATTTTTTTCCGTCCGCTTGGTTTTATCATGAGTAAGGCAGTGCCTTATGCGAAGATTAGAGTTCAGATCAAGAGGAAGCGATTTCTTCTCTGACGGTTTATTTATATGCAATCGCCTTTTTTTTGGGTGTCAGAGGGCCTGAAAGCACCATGTTATCATCAGGTGAGGAATGATCAGCACCTCTCACAAGGTTGAGTACATCAGCTGTGGACTGCCTTTGCAGTCTCTTCCACAAGGGAGACTTGAGATCCGATCCGTCAGCTGATTTCAGAAGGAGATACGCTGTGGGCAAGAGGGGTTTAGATAACGTCTAATGTGCTGACTTGGAGGAGAGAGAAGTCTTCCCAGCCAGCAGCCTAACACTGTACGGTTACAAATAGGTCGACAAGTGAGTGAGCAATTAACTTCTGGCTGATAGAGTCCAGAATGATAAGCGGGAACTTGTAATTGGGAATGTGCTAAATAGGTTACCTCACAAACTGGATCACTGCTCCCATCAAAATCTGTTATGACACTTGTCAATGGATTTTTTTTTTAAAACGAGCGCCAAGCTCTTTATCTGATTTAAAAATAAATAAAGGGCAATTTGTAATCCCACTGAAATCTAGTAGCATTTTGATTCGTTCTCCTCCTCCTCTACTTTATAATACTTTACTAGTTTTTAATAACGGGGGAAGTAAATTTTCGTTTTGAAAGAGTTCGTGATTCCCCCACAGCGGCAACAGAGATGAAACTTGTTTTTGAGTATTGGTGCAGTGTTTCTAAATTTGGCTTATTGAGTAAATGATATGATTTTGTATTACCTCTGGAATGAATAACTTAGAATTCAATCCAATTTGCTCTCTGCTTACTCTCGGTCTCTCTCTTGCTGTCTCTTGCGCTTTCTCTCTTTTTGCTTTCTCTCTCTCTCTCTCTCAGACATGGAAGGTTGTCAGAGAATCTTTGGGACTGCGTTGGCTCCAAGGTGACATGGCCTGATGACCATAACTGGTTTGGTAAAAATAATAATAACCATAATAATAATCATAATAATCTTTGCATTTGATATAGCAGCATCTTATCATCATGTTGTTGAACGTCTCAACGATGTGATAAGCGCTTCCTACAATATACTGTAAGATTAATTGACTGCGTACTTTGGGAGTCCGATACCTGAGCCAGACAGGCTGATGGTGGATCAACCAGCCTGGCTTCATAGATAAAACTTTGAGGAGCATTGTCAGAGGTGTTGTCCTTTAAATTAGATATTAAGCCTAGGTCCCATTTCCCTGTTCAGTTAGATGATGAAAAGCTTCCTTGGCACTATTCGAAAAGGGAAGAGAGTTTTTTCCTGTGCAGCAGTTTTCCGGATGTAACAAGAACGGGCTGTTTGTTAGGCATTGCTGTGTGTAAATTGGTTGCTGAGTTCATCTACAAATATAGTAACTACACTTTACAAAACGCACCGTGAAGGTCTTTGAGACTTGTTGGCCTGATAAGATGCTCTATCAAATGCAAACTACAAATAATTGAATGCACGAGGGTGAATGCTGCCTGTGTGGGAAGTATCACTAGAGGTCAGCGTGAGGAGCGTTTGATAAAACAAATTGAATATGTCAGGAGGCAGTCGTGTGCCGCAATAAATAAGTTATCTCCACTTGCGAGGGTGGCCTTAACTCACCGGTGACTTTGTTGCTCATCACTTTCCCAGTCAGCCTGACAAATTGAGTTATTTATCATGTTACAGTGACACACACGTATTCCATTCATAACACTTGTATTTTAATTTTTGGTTTCAATTTTCATCTGGTCTCCCTGTCGAGCATTTCTCAGTCAGTGAGGCATCGCCACAGGTGAGGTGGAGGGCACAGAGTCCTTCAAACTGCTCCCGTACAGTAATATCTCCTCAGAAGACTTGACAGCCTCGGCTATGGCTCAGTTGGCAGCGATTTTGTCTGGGGTGGTGTGGGGTTAGAGCGTCGTCGGTTCAAGCCCCCGACATCCTCCCTCCCTCCAATGCAGCACTGATGTAGCATTACATTGCGGCCAAATAAAAAAAAGAGAAACCTGGTCATTCAGTCACTGTTTTTCGTTCTTTGTGGGGATGTGATTGAGAATAAATTGGCTGCCATGTTCACCTACAAAATCCACAGTTGCTGCACTTTACAGTAAATCCTGTGAAGCGCTTTGAGACTTCCTCCTGACCTGAGAGATAGTTCCTGCATATCAAATGGCTCACGATTGTACAGTTCGTACATGATAATGACCACTTGGGCCACTTATTATTGTTGGGCGAGGTACCGGATGGAGCTCAGTGCTTGTGGATCCGAGATCTTCCCAGTCCTTAATCTTTAGCTTCTCACTGGATGAGTCGATGAGATCAACACACTGAGCCACCGGAGCAACCTGAATGGGTATCTTATCGTTCAAACCGATCAGGCTGAAGTGTTATCACTTTGACACTCTGCTATACCAGCGAAAATTAGTTTTTATTCCCAGTCGCGACTTTCCACACAAGTGTTACAAAGTCAAATTAAACAGCGAAATTACAAGCTGCTGCACACGTCAGTGAAGCCAAGAGGAATGAAAAGAGTGCAAATGATGAACAAACCCAACAGAAGGCAGCCTAGAGAGCCTCATAGGTCATCCACCTCCAACGTCCACAGTATTTTTTTTCAAATAAAGGTGAAAACTGCTATTTGATGCGTCTCAAGCCTTCTGTCTCGGGTTGGGGGGTGATGGGGAGGGTGATTGGAGGGAGGGAGGTGGGGGGGGGAGGGAGGGAGAGGAAAGGGAGAGGGAAATAAACTGACCCGTTGCCTGAAACACCTTTGGTTTGCTTTTTTTTTCCTCTTTGCTATCTTTGCTGTCGGGGGTTGTGAAGCGTTGTTCAGATGGGATAGAGCCACTGCCACCCTTTTATCCCTTGTTTCCCTTACACAGCCCCCTCAGCTCCCAGAGTCCAACGTGCAGCTACAGGACCCACTTAGTATTGGTAAACCTAAGAAACATGTTCCCTCGGCAGCCCCCGCCCCCTGGTGTTTTATGCCTCTTGTCCGCTCCCTTCCTCGGCACACCTCGAAACGTACCTACATCTTTGACTACTCTTTCAGTCATCTTCCCCCCGGCCACTTGGCTTCCACCCTCAGCTCAGGTGCCAATTCAGCAACGCAAAGCTCTTTGGTAAATTATATTATATTCTTCAAAGGGATCTGTTCCTTTTCATCTTTCAGTATGAATGTACAAGTCGCCTTTAGAGACCACTGTATTTTGTTCAGCTGCCAAATCTTAAGTTGTTTCGATTGTATCTTATTTTGGGCGGGTGGTGGGAGGGGGACGAGGGGGCGGGCGTATGTTTTTGCTTATTTCTTGAAACTCAAAAAAGCTTTTTTTTAAAAATTGTATTTAAGTATAAATTTTGGATTTAAATTCGCTGTAGTTACGCCTAGTTTCGGCAATTGCCAGGTGCGTTAATTGCACTAAAGTACGAAATAGCTAGTTATGAAACGTGCGAGGTGTGGTAAAAGTTTTCACGATTTTTATAATAATAATGCAATTGACGAATTGTAGCCGCTGATGTAACCCACGAAACAGTGGAGTCACTGATGCAGAAGTTCAAGGAGAGTTTTCGAACAAACACGCCTATTGAGATCTCCCACCTTCAGCAAGCTCCACGCAGCACTGCCACGGGACGAAAGAAGGGAAGGAGGAATAAAAGTAGAGGTAGGACATGCGAGAACCGTCGTTGAGCGTGCCGTCGGCTTAACCACTTAAGAGAAGAAGGGTGATGGTTGTTAGTGGTGGTGGCAAGTGTTGGCTGTTCTTGGTGGTGGTGGCGGTAATCACGGTGACGGTCGGAGACATGCATGCATTGCAGATCGAAGCAACCAGGTTATTGACCAGCTCTCGACTGACATGTCCGGTCAGTGCAAACATCTGAGCTGGTATTGGGCACCGTTATCCCTTTCCTCTCGTGAGGAGATGAAAGCGCTCAGAGATTCTGTCCGGCGTGAAGGGTGCTATATATATATAAACACAAGTTGTTGTGGGCTCACAGCCTTCTGACTCAGACGTGAGCGTGTTACCCATTGAGCCAGGCTAACATTTTGAATCAAATTCAGCCTCATAAACTCACGCGCTCTATATTCTGGGTCTCCTTCTGTACGGATGATAGAACGTTAGACGAGATAAACTGCTTTGCCTTTTTTTTGCCTCTCTCACCAGAAACACTTGTATCCCAATTGCAAATCCACTTTCTAATTCTCTGTAATTAGAGCAGGCAGAGTTAAGCGCTTAAAAGGAATCATTTGATCAGGTAAATGTTTTATGAGCACTCGAGTTCCCTAGAGATTTAAAATGAAGGATAAAAAAAAGAAGAGTCTTCAAGAGTGCTACATTTAGGCAGCTAAATTAACTCGGCATTTTGCAAGTGAAGTTAGTTGATCAGACAAGTGAAACATGACTATTATTTTAAAACTGTTTGCTTTCTTCTAAAAAAACACCATTGAAATGTGGTGTTTTCAGATCCAACACCCCCTCCACACACACACACACACACATTAAATTGCAATGTAATCTTTCACACTTCGAACAATAATCACCTTATCTAAATGTCGTTAAATAGAGCTGTGAGGAGTTAGGATTGGAGATACGTTACCTTTGTACAGCCGACTCTGGCCTCACTCACGTCCCTCGACCCCTCCGCTCCACCATTGGCGACTGGGCTTTCGGCCACTATTATGCTCCGACCCTCTGGAATTCGTTGCCTCAATCCCTCCACCTTCCTCCCTCTTGTCCCAGCACAGATCACACCTGAAGACTTTCCTCTTTGATCGCGACTAAGGTCACCTCCCCCTTCTCCCTAGTTCGATGTCAAAGTGTCAAGCGCTCCGAGAACCTACCCAGCGTGAAGAGCGCGATATCAGTGCAGGTTGCTGTTGTATTTTCCAATAGGTATATAATAATAATATAATAATAATAATAATTGGTGTTGATCAACCATGAGAATCAAGATCAGGAATGGAAACCCAAGGGCCAGTTATAGCCCTTAATATTGCAAGGGTGTGTGTGTGGGCGTAAAATGAGCTAACTTGCTTGTGCATAATATGCCTCGGCAGGAAAAGATACGCTTCAAAAAAGGCAGAGCCTTCGAAATGGTTGTTATCGAACGCAGGAAAGCAAAGCACCAGAATCTTTAGCAGGTAACAGTGCCACCTACCTACCTACTTACCTACCCAAACCACCCACCCACCTACCCAACCCACCCACCCACCTACCCAACCCACCCATGGCACAAGCTGTTCTGAGAGAGCTACGTGAAAGCGTTGTTGAAGGACACGGAGTAGTTCAGTCAGATTCCTGCCACAGGCACAGGACAAACGAGGATATAAGCATATAAGTGTTCCGCACCGAAGAGAATCAAGTGTACAGCAAGATGCAAGAGGACAACGATTTACCACCAGGCAAAACCCGCTGACAAGGTCGAGCAAAATCACTTCAGCTGAGTTGCAGCAACGACACCGCTGTTTTTTGCTCAGGCTGTTTTGTATCTGGGAAGCAAATGGGATTAGTTCTGCGCCATTTGCAAACAAACCATCTTGGAGGAGACTTTTCTCCGCGAGGGGGTGCGTGTGTCTCGGTTGACTCTGTTTCAGAATCTCCAGAGTTTAGCAAAATCGTAGATTCAGCGTTAATTTTGAAGACACTTTTTTTTTTAAGCTTCTTTTAAGAACCTTTGTTTTTTAAAAAAGTTAGCGACGCTGTGCCTCAAAGTATTTTAGATCGCAGGATTTATAGGAGTCCAACAGCGTAGCGGTTAGAGCACTCGCCTCGCAAGCGAGAGGACCCGCGTTCGATTCCCGGTTAGAGAGAAACCTTCGGCAAATTTTCTTACTTCACACCCCTCTGTTTACCTAGCAATAGGCAGGAACCAGGTTGTTGGTTGATCGCTTTCCGGGGTTAATAATCCCTCCAAAAAAAAAAATTTGGTTATTCAATCCACGACTCTTTGTGGGACACCGCTGTGCGCAATTGGCTGCCGAATTTCACCCATAAAATACAGTTATATGTTCTGTGAAGCGCTTTGAGACGTCTCAACGACGTGATAAGGCGCTATATCAAATGCAAGGATTATCATTATCATATATATTATCATTGCGTCAGTTTTGGGTTAAGTGCCACGTCTGTTGAAACAAATGCAACAAAGTTTGCTCAGTGGATCTTTGAAGTGTTAACGGTGCCCTTTTAAGTGCCATTGGGCCAGTAAACAGCAGCAACAGCTGAAATCAATGCACAGCAAACACTTGCACAGATCTTTTTTCCCCCCAGTCTCATTTGCAACAGGGCCTCGAGCTTTTGAAATGTCTTGTTTTGCCTGAAGGAGTAAATCTAGACAGGCACCAAAGGTAATTAATCTTGAATGACTTCCCAGCTGCACGAAGTGGAACATGATCTTTATTTTCCCAGTCTCATGTCTGACTGTGGGTCCGAGCTCTGGTGGTCACGAAATCCACGGCTATTTCTTTAGACGCTGCTGTGCGCAATTGGCTGCTGCCTTTCACCCACAAAATACAGTCAATTGACTTCACGGTATATTCTGTGAAGCGCTTTGAGACGTCTCAATGACATGTTAAGGCGCTGTATCAAATGCGAGGATTATTATAATTGAGACGACACCGTGTGGCTTCTTTGATGCCTTGATTTGAACAAACCTGACCAACTTGATGGGCTGTGGAGGAGGCGGGGGGGGGGGGGGGGGGTGGTGTTGAGTGATGAATTCTCACTCTGATCTCTTGTACCTTATCGACCCCCAAAATGTTTCCTCCATAGTCCTTGCGACACTCGGATCATTCTCCCCAGCATTGTCAACTTCTGTGTGACCGGAGTGAAGGCTATTTGAGTATAATGGGGACTATCAAAACCAGACTGTGATTACGATGTTGGACAAATGCGTTGCCTTGACAGAGTTGAGTTCAGCTGAGTCGAGAGGAATTGTGTGGAACTAAAGGCTGTTAACTCGGAGTTTGCACAAAGCTGCTCTTTGTTTGAAAGGGTAATTTGAAGACAGACTAACCCCTTCCCCCCCCACCACCACCACCCGCCAGTTTTTCACATTCAAATGGATAATTAGCACCTGGAACGGGTGGTTGAGATCAGGATGATAGATATGGTTAGAAATATGATGCTGTAATGGATGTGCGGATGGTAGCCAGGGCAGAACGATGAGGTACAAATAGGCTGAAAGACTTTCTTCATCTGAGTCTCTCGTGGTCTCGAGAAGGAAGATAGTGAAATGGTGATGACGCAATGGGGCGCTCTGTGCATTGGATGTCACACGTTCCACCCCGGCGGGAAGAGGCACGGGATACCATGCAAGACGACGGTTTGAAAAGATGTCAGGCTGACGTGATTGAATTGGCGACCGAGCCATTTCAAAGAGGCAAGGAAGCCAGCGTCGCTTCTGGGAACAGAAGATCGGTCTCTGAGACCGCATTGAAATGAGATGGTTTCATTAACTCCTTCCTCAAAGTCAACCTGAATAACATTGGGAGCAGCTACGGGTCCTGCAGCTTCGGAGAAACCGATTGAGAGAAATAAATTGACACAGTCCATGGGAATAGCGTGATTTATAGAGAAAATAGTAGGACTGACGTGGTTTTAGATTGCTCCTGTCAGTCGTCAGCTGAATGAGTTTTTGATAGACAGGACATTAATACAGAATGACATTTGTAATATAAATACAATCTTTTTTTAAAGAAAACCACACTGCTCTTATTAACTTCTGCACACTGGATCACGCTGAGCACCTGAGTGGGTTTTACTGCTGATTCCAATTTGGAGGAATTGCGCTTGTAATAGTTGTTCAATCCCTTGACGAGTCCTTTTTGCTTGGTTTGTGCTCCGTTCACACTCTCAGATCTCCTCGCAGAGAGTGAATTGTAGCATGTGGCACGGGGTCAGTGTACGGCTGTTGGGAAGAAAGAAAGCTGCTGATGAGCTGGAGCTCTGATCTGCTCTGTACCAGCCAGCGTGAGCAAATCCTTGCAATCCAACCAGCCGTACATGGACTTATCTGGCTTCATCGGAAACGGGACACATCTGCAGCACGATGATCGGTTTGAACTCAGCCCATCATCCCAGCAGTCACAGCAAAGTTTGTGACCTCCAATCCCTTTCACACACCGTAAGGTTCTTCGTTACTGGCCCCTTGAGCTGCATTTCATCAGGGCGGAAAGGAAGTAATGATACATAGCTTTGACTGTTCTCTGAACCGGTTTGATTGATGATAAAAAAAACATTTGGGAGAAGAGTTGGGAGAAATTATTTTCGTTTTCAGGACCAGTCAAGTCATCTTAACATCATGTGTGGCTAAATGCATAGCAGCTTCTTGTTTGGATAGTTTTAGAGACCGGATTCCTACTTTACGCAGGGCATCTGGGCTCTGCTGAAACATTCGGACCGTGACAAGACAGGTGATCGATTGAGCAGGGATGTAGATACAGGCTTGGTAAGAAAGTGCGAGTCTAAGTGGTAGCTTGCCTCTAAGTCAGAAGATGGTGGGATCGAGCAACTTGAAGGCTTTAATCCCAGCGTTGGGGATAGAGTACCAACCCAGGGTCTCAGTGGAAACCCGCACACTTTAATGGCTTTGTCAGCAGGTAGACTGAGCTCAGCTTTGTACTAAAATGCACTTTCGTGTTGTGATTTTGATTCGCTGTCATGTTTTCTGCGTCGTAACACGAAACCTTGACGTGTGTTGTGTAAACGCTACGTTGTTGGTGTGACAGGAGAGTGTAATTGCAGGAATCAATTGGAAATCTTGGATGACAGAGCGATTAGATTTCCTCATTAGTTATTTTCACGGGACGGTGCGCTTAATAATGAACTCTCCAAGTTTATCAGAGAGAGTGAAACGTTACACAGCCTAGCCGATCTTATGAGCGATACAGCAATAATCAAACAACAAAAGCAACCTGCATTTGTGTAGCACACTGCACGTAGAGTAACATCTAGAAGCTTTACTTAGGGATAGAGCTGAGGGGAGGGAGAGGACAGATGGTAAGTTGATCATAGACAACAACAAACTACATTTGTGTAGCGCCTTTCACGTTCGAGAGATCCGCACAGTCGAAGAGGTGGTGGGACTTGAAGACAGAGAGAGGTTGAGGGAGGTAATTCCAGAGGTTAAGGGGATAGAATCAGAAAACGTGTCTCGGTTGTTGGTCAGTGCACTGTAGGGAAAAAAAACATTGGGGTAACACGACTTTGTGGACCCCCTCTACAATCTCAGGAGGAAGCCTGGGCGAGAGAGGAAGCAGACAGTGTGTGTATCTCTTTGTTACAGCAATGTCTGTCAGAGGAATTGGAAGGGCACAAAGCAAAGTGAAAGCGTTGTTGCCGTTTTCACCTGTGACAGCCAAGGCCACCGTGCTAATATTCAGCAATTAATCATGCTTGTGTTGTGCTGTCTCCAGGGGATATATTTGGAACGACTATAAATGCTCATTTCGAGTCAGTAAAAATAGAGCCTTTCCTCCGCATCTCCTGTGGCACGGTCGAGTCAAAAGCGACGTTTTTAGAGTAAGAGGCTCTGCTCGTTTCCAGCTTCTCCGCACAGCGCCCGCTGGTGAGAGCATCACTGTCACTGGGAGCTGTGTGAACTACATGTGTTTCTCTCTCCAAAAAAAAATCCACCAAATGCTCCACTTTCCCTGCTCCCTGACTGGAGCCTGATTTTCCTGACGGGTCTGGAAGTTCCACCCCACCCCACCCCACCCGCCCATTGGCATCATCTGCAGGAATGGGGTCTATTTCCGCGCTCGACACCCATCTCTTCTTTTCTGCCTCAAACCCTGCCCTCCACCCATCTTGGCTCCAACCCCCAGTTGATCCTTCACTGTCTAGTGCCTTTGGGACGTCCTCCCAATGTGAAAGGCGCTGTATAAATGCGATTTGTCGTTGTTGTCGACGACAGAAAGAGACAGAGAGAGAGAGAAAGAGTAACAAGCTGGGTGAGCACACGTAAATCATCTTTCAGTCCTCCTGCAGTGCATCCAATGAGTAATTTTGCAACCAGACTTACACTGTTGGCAAGTTTGACAAGGTAATCAGACGGGAAAAACAGACCGTGTTTTTGTGAAAGAAACTCCAGGCGACTGCACTGCACAGTTGGAGCTTTTCTGGTTTACAGAACAGCGGATTTGGGAAAGTGCAGGGTTAGTTGAATGTCGTGTTGAGTACAAAGCAGGGATATCTGTCAAGGGAACCACTGACTCCCATTGCACCCTCTGTCTTTGCCAAAGCATTCCTGTTGTATGTCGGGTTGGCTTTGTGGCACACAAGCTGTGTGACGCGCTGTGAATAATGAAAGATCGCAGCAACGTGCAAGACCGGAGAAAGAGATTTTTTTTCCCCCTCTTCGAGCGAAAATGCTTTCAACAATTTAAGACCTGCCCATCCTCGAGTTGTTGAGCCAATATTCTATCCGAAATAAACTTGCATTTTTTAAGTCAAAAAATAAGTGTCTTTGCAAAACCTTAACAGATTAGATGTGAAAAGGGAACCTTGTATACCAGTCATGAAGAAGAGTATCATGTTATACCAAGTGATATTGGCCAGGCCATCGGGAGAAGACTCGCTTCTGTTTTCCGATCGAGTTACGGGATCTTTGACATGTACCAGATTTGTTCCGGATGACAACACCTCCTACAACACCGCGATTGCCCCAGTATTGTACTCTCACGACGGGCTTGTACTTGAGAGCTCAAGTCTTGCCATGGACATGGACACACAACCCGGAAAGCAAAGCAACCCGAGCCCAGCTGACGCACAAAATTGCTGGCAGAGGGGAGGCGGACAGCCTGAGTTGGGATAAGAGGCAGTAGCAGGGAATCACATACAGTTCTGTTGTTTTTCCAGGTGTTATGAGAGGAGAAGACGATTCTGGTACAGAGGCCGACGACGAGACCCATCTGACCTTCTACTCAGAGCAACACAGAAGCAGGCGGAAAAGCAAAGGTAACGTGATCTCTCTCTCAGTGCTCCTCGGCCCTCGTAAAGTCACGGGTGGGGACGGGTGATGCCGCTCAGGTTCCATAATATGAGTTTACTGAACGTCTGTCTGTCTCCACGGCTCAGTCAGACTGCAGGGTCAGTTTACGCTGACGCCTCCCATTGGCAACTTGACTGCAATGAACTAAACAATTATGCGTCTGCTCTGCTGTTTGTGTCGACACGGTTGTCGACTCCGCTGACTTGTCCTCATGTTTAATACACGGCGACAATGCCATTAGCAAATTGGCAAACTCCTCAGCCGTTGCCATCGACAGTAGCCAGGGCGGCTGGGTTTCGTAAAGTGAAGCGTGTGAGCCAATGACAATATGCCGTCTTATCCGTAGGTCTTCATTCAGATGAATATTGGCAATTGGTTCCACTCATATTAGTGCAGTAAAACTCACATAAGTCTGATCTGTATAAAATGTATAATCGCCTAAGTCGTGCATCTGCCTGAGTCATATTAGATGTACGTTGCCAACTGATACGACTTATGAGGCTTTACTATATTAATACATAACAATATTAATAATAATCCTGGAGACTTTCACATGTGGAACTCACTACTAGAAGCTGTAAAAAAGTGGAAGTTAGAAAGCTTGAATGTATTAGAAAGAAAATTTGATGGACACATTGAAGGAGGAGGGTATTGGTGAAGGGATTTGGAAGGGTGGAAACGTGTGTGGAGAAAAAACACCTCCTGATGCTGAATCACAAAAATCCACCAAACTTTTTTTTCAGGAAAAGGGAATGAAATAAGTGCTGCACTTTAAAAAAAAGAATGATAATACTGAAGGATGTGAAGATTGAGAGTGAGATCAGTCTCCGCTGGTAACCGCGAACACACATTTCAGCTGTTTTCACATCAGCGCGGTGCACAGTGGAGTTTGCGACCTTGCCTGATGACTTGGCAATTAAGCAATTGACTTGCCATTAACTTTCAAGCAGCCGCTTGAGAGTAACCAGACACGTTTCTGGGGCTGAATGAAGCTCGTCAAAGAGTGGTTGGCAAAGTGGAAATCACGTCAAAGGTGACCTCCTAGACCTGAAGGGCAAAATTCAATGCATTCAAACAAATACTATTACTACTGCTTAATAATAATAATAATAATTGCATTTGATATAACGACTTATACATAATCCAAACGTCTCAAAGTGCTTCTCATCATTTTTTATACTGAAGTGACTGCATTTTATCAGCAATTGGAGAATCACAGGAGGACAAAGTTGGAAGATAAATTAGTATTCGTCGCGTCTACATAGAACTTTGGAGTTTACCTCACAGTGTAAGTAGAGCCATGATATTTCCAGCGTTGACAGCACTGTTCTCATTGAAGTGGTTTTTGCAATGCAAAGGAGTCATTAGCCATCTCAAGAAGCATTAGTTTATCTGGGTCACATTCCTCTCCCTTAAAAGCCATTGATAACCGAATTGAAATGGGAAGAGGAATATACATAATACATTTGGGGACCCAGATTATTTTTCTTTTCAATTATTGATTGTTCACAGTGGTTTTTAAAGCCTTTCGTTCCTAATGCAGTGAGCTGTGTTGTGCTTCCCCGTACTTTTATTTTAAAATCATTTATAAACCGCTCGCTCGAAGGTCCTTGAAATGCTTGTGAATTTCTTTGAACCGCATTTCCTAAAACGGGCGTACACTGAGCAGTCTTTTTCAGCAATAGTGGACCATTCTTAGAAGCTTAGAATCAAAGAATGTTACAGCATAGAAGGAGGCCATTCGGCCCATCGTGCCTGTGCCAGCTCTTTGAAAGAAATACCCAACTCGTCCCCACTCCCTCTCCCTTGAAACTTTCCCCACCGCCTTGAAACTTTTGTTTTTCCTTTTCAAGCATCTATTCAATTCTTAATGAGAATCCATCCTCTAAATAGTCAGTGGAAATTCTTGAACCGATAATTTAGCAGAGACTGTAAGTGGCACTCCATAAAATTGGACATCCGTCATGAATATTCATACCACACATCCAGATGGTGTCCTTTCAGCATCAGATAGCGAAACGTCACGGACAAAAAAAAACCTGAATTGAAAATACAGGGAATAAATCCCCAAAGTGGATTAACTCAAATGACAAACTTCAACCAAGCATTTTATTGGTTTTTAAATAGTGTGTTTACACAATCGAAGCAAATGGCAAAGGCAAACTTTCGACTACAAATGCCCAGTTCATTTTTCCTGCTGACGTTTTTTTTGCGCGCGTGTGTTTTTTTTCTGAAAAAAAAACAATTGCGCGTTGCTTCGTGTCAGCAGCCTTAACCCTCGGTTTACGGGGGATTAGTAACTTAGCTTTATCCTCGGCTGATCACAGTTCACAGCAGAGAGAGCGCAGACAGAGACCCAGCCTCTGGGAGATTTCACCTCCTGGATCTTGAGACTTTTAATCACCGCGTGTTAGCCCGAGTGGGTCAGACTCCCGGCCGTCAAAGAGCTCGTAGTTTCGCTCAAATTTCAACGAAGGTCTTTTATAAACGGCTGGATCGTAACATTAATAATAATCCTTACATTTGACACAGCACCTTATCGCGTCTTCTCAAAGCGTTTCACAGAATATATTGCAGCGTGACTGCGAATTTTGTGGGCGAAACACCCGAGATCTTCCAGCGCATCACCAAGTTAATTATTGAGGCGGGGTGGGGAGGAGGGGTGGTGGGGGCGGTGAAGGGGAGAGGCAATCAACTTGAAACTGAGGGGTCCAAATTCTGTTATTCTTCAACTCATTCTGTTTCTGTTGTGGGCTGCCGTGAAGATTTCGGAGTGGAATGCACTGCTTGCACTTTGTGGTCTGAAATGCCTCTCGATATCTTAGCTGAAGTTCTCTAATCCACAGGGACCTGAGGACTGAGCTGAGGTCTTAATGGGGATATTTTTTTTCTCTGACCTGTAACGTTGTAGCCCAGAGGTAGATAAACCCACCTTAGCCAAAATAGCAGCGTTGAGCAAGGATTTGACTCTGAATTTGGCATTAGCTGTGGTAGCGTTTGAAAGGCAATTTCATTGATACCAGAGCGAAACTAATGGGATTTGTGCAGATGGATTTAATGTGTGTGTGTGTGTGTGTGTGTAGAGGAGGGGAGGGCTGCCAACACAGCTGAGATGGGTTGACAGGCCTCCTGTGTTCTAAACGCTCTACGGTTTTTCATCCCGACTTGTGCAAGACGTGGAGGGTAAGTGCTCTGCTACTCAGTACAGACAGAGAAGCGAACGCAGTATTTGCCTGACAATAATAATAATTATTATTATAGGAATCCTTACATTTAGTGCGGAGGCCTTTCCTGTCCCAAAGTGCTTCACAGGATATACTGTTAAATCGTTGTGACTGTACCTTATAGTGAGCAAAACAAAATGGTGGCACGGAGAAATTGCTTGCCCCTGTGGGGTTGAAAGCCCAGCCACCTTTGCAATGTACAGCTCAACAACGGTGATCCTTGCATTTGTCGTAGCACCTCTTTGAGATGTCTCCAAGCGCTTCACGGGGTTTTGCTGCGATGTGCAGTGACTGTGCGTATTTTGAAGGCGCACGAGGCAGCCAATTTGCACAAGGAACGTCCCAGAAGCTCACAAGGATCAGCCGCTCGGCTGATGAATTAAAGTATTTAAAAGGTGGATGTGTAGGGGTGTGGGGGTGGGGGGTGGTTTGGAGGTTGTTAGAAATGGAGCAGGCGGAAACATAAATGAATGCTGAATGCGAAGGAAAATAAAATTCAAATGATATAATATTGCAGCATGACTCTTAAACTGCTCCGAAATTATGGTGCATGAAATTTGAACATGTAGAGCGTGGAAATGAAAGCCTGGGAGCTGGTTATCTATCTGAGGACCTGCTTTGCGGAGTGTTACATTTTTTTTAAGCAGGGTCAGTGGCAAGCCCGTCGAAGGTTGAGATGGGACTGGCCTCCCTTGCACCGTGCGTTTCCCAAGGAATTTCCCAACATTGCAGCTGAACGGAAAGGTGCAGGCTGAACATGGCGATGCAAACCATCCAGTAGTATGAATGGTGTGTGGTGGAGGGGTGCTGGGGGAGGGGGGTGGGGAGAGAGGCAAACAGGTGCCATTTAAGGGAGTCGTGCCGTGTTTGATAGCGTTTTGTGGAGAGAGACAGGGATTTAAAAGCTTCGAATCCGGCAGGTTTCGTTATTGGTGATTTCACGGTGACTCTGCCACGGACGCCTCTAGCTCGAGGCACCTTGTTCCTACAATGTCCCAGTTTATTAAGCAAACAGTGACTTCGTTTGTTCGAAGGAGGAGAGCACAAGAGCTCCGTCATGGACAATAATAATCCTTGCATTTGATACAGCGTCTTATGCTGCCGTCAAGATGGTCTCAAAGCTCTTCGCTGGGCTATACCGTAAAACGATGCCACTGTAAAGCGTGTAATTTGAAAGCAAACGCAGCAGCTAATTTGCCTGTTGTGGAGCGATGTTCCACTAACAACCATGGAGTGAATGACCATTTTTATTTGGTGGGGCGTGGGGCGGAGGGGTGGGCTCGCAGTAGGAACGTTGGTCAGGACAATCACGGGAGAAACTCCCTTCTCTTTTCTAATAGTGCCACATGATAATTATCGTCCACCCGAGCAGACAGACAGACGAAGTCTCGGTTTAACTGACCTGTTGTTCTGTGATCTTGTTTCGTCCTGAATGCTGACGTTCGGGACCGGATGGACAGTCCCCTTTGGTTTGGGATAAAGATCTGTATTGCTGTGGCTCAATTCAGTATGGATTGAATTGACAAGAGTCCTTGCCTCCTTTATTAACACTGCTAGTGCTCAGTAACCCGGTGGTTGTGGTCTGCAGTAACCCACTGACAGCAATCCATTCGGAAGATCCATGCATATAGTGCTGTATGGATTGACTTTTAAATAATACATAACAACAGGAGAATAAGTGATTTTTCCTGGCTGATTTCTTATGGATTTTTGCATTTTCCTCTCATTTGCTAAGTGTAGCT